AACACATTCTAATGAAATTAAACCCAAAGTGTATCTTTGGTGTTCATACAGGATACTACTTGTAGTAAATCGATCCACGATGGCATCGCCTAACGAGGAGAAAGTCAAAGCTGTCTTGGACATGAAGCCACCCAAAAAGGTGAAGATGTTGAAGCTTCTAGGATCATAGCTGCTCTCGGCGTTTCATATCAAGATTAGGCAAAAAGGGATTACCGTTCTTTAAATTCTTCAAGCTTGTCCAGAAGTATGAGTGGTGGGAGGCGACGTTGCCTTCACCGCAATTTGAAACAATACCTTCGTCTCACGGTCCTCCACTTTGCTCTCAGAGAAGGCAGAAACACTCACCTTTACATTGCGGCAACTTCAAATCAGTGGTTTCCAACTGCCATGATGATCGACAGCAGCGAGCAAGCCATGTCTGAGTACAACATCGATCTATTTTTCATCGGTGGGTCTCAATGAATCCAAACCGGTACCTGAGATCGAGAGAATTGATCTATACCCATCTTGATAACATCCCAAAAGTTGAAACATTACTTGACCGGATGTCGTGTGGTGGTCATGGTAGGAGTACCCTCTGCGAGACATAATTAGCCCGGCAAGGATCGCGAGCGGATGCATTGTCAAGTGGAGCAATGGAGCTGCTACCCCCTTTTCACGGAATTATGCCGGCATGGTACTACGATCAAGATCACCGAGGCACTTTCGTCCCGATTTCATCGTTGAGTGGGCGGACTTAAACATACCTACCTCTCGGTAAGGCCGACGAGTGTTGGAAGATAGCCACTTGAGCGGTTCCCTCAACATCGATAACGCAGCGCGCGAGAGTCCTTTTCGTGTTGCCATCCAAGGAAGCGACTCGTGATGCGTCCCTCGGGATTCATTTCCGGCATCCTAATAATCTTGCGGCCCGAATCCCTGAAGCATGCCTACATGGTTTAGCGCATTGCGGTCGAAACTTTTCGGTGTTAAGCGTCTCTATGTCTATGGAGACTCGGCTCTAGTCATCAACCAACTCAACGAAGGGGTACGAGACCACGACCGGTGAAAGGATGGATGCATCTTGCAAGTCCCGATTAGAAAAGGCTGGAGCGGGTTTTATGGCATCGGTATTTTACACCGCGTGGTCAAGACAAAAATTAAGCGGCGGTCTGTTGTCAGAGTTAGGATCATCCAGGCAGAAGTCCCACATGGCGGCGTAAGTCCAGAACACACTCCGCCTTCCATTTGAGGAGGAAGATCCCACGGTCGACAAGCCTCTAGACAAGCAATTGGTGGCTATGGTTAGGTGTAAACCTGGCACCGGCTGAAGCCATCTCGACCACGCCTGGGCTTGTTGGAAGAACCTTTCATCAAGTACACGATAGATGGCGGCGGTTATCTTGATCGAGATGACAGCGAGCGCCTTAATCGTCGCCGATGGCGATATCTGCTCATCGATGGCAAGTTATGGGCAAGAAGCATAGGGAGAAATCTTGATGAAGTGTATAACTTGGGAGGAATGGCGAATGTCTCTGGACCAAATCCACTCGGCTCTGCAGCGACCCTTGACCTAGAAGCGATGGTCGATGAAAAACTTTAAAGCGAAGTTCTATTAACCATCGGCGATGGCCAGCCAGCGGGAGAAGCTAATCAAAAGCCACTATGAGGGTTGTCCGGTTCTTTGCCAAGAGAATCCATGTACTGGCCATAGAGATCTAGACAATACCAGCCTCTTGGCCCCTTCGCATCTTTGAGGATTGGATATGATGCAGACCTTTCAAAGCCGGCTCACAGCAGAATTTACATGCGTCTTTGTGCTGTTCGACAAATTTTCTAAGTGGATAGAATACATGCCTGCGATACGAGGCATCCTTAGAAAAAGGCTGTCACATTCCTCGGCCAGATCATCCCACCCACAGCTTGACGCACCTTGACATCATCTTTGATCTCGGCACTCGGTTCACGGAGCGATTTTAGGACTTCTGCGATGAAAGAGCATAGTAGTAAAATACGTCTCGGTGGCGCGCCTAAGCTAATGGATGGTCGGCGGGCAAATGGAATGATTTTGGGCGCATTGAATAATAGAAGGATGTCTGAGAAGAAAAATGACCAAGCTCCCGGAAGATGGCTCAAAAAGAGTTACGGTAGTGGTGCGGGGCCTCGAGAACTTAGCCGGTCGTAACACGGCGTCTCACCATACTTCATGGTTTCTGGCCTTGGCGGAGTCCTCGGCAATGAGATATAGCTTTTAGATCAGTACCGGGTAGAGAACTTGATGAAGGCAAAGGTCGAATGAAATGCAGAGGCTAGAAGTGAATAAGCGCGAGAAGAAGGCGGCTCGATTCTTGTATCGTCTGACCAAACTACCCCATTTGATTGTGAATGGTACTACAACAAGAATGTTAAAGCGGTTTTTTCGTGGTGGGGACACGGTCACAGAAGTGGAAGGCAGACAAGCGGAAAATCCATAGGCTTCATAACCCCCATAGGAGGGGCCCTTCATGATCAAAGGGAAGTTACATGACCAATGTCTTACGGGTTAGCTCACACAGCACGATGCAGGCGTACCAAATTAATGCTTTGTCGATAAGCTTAGGCGTTTCTATAGCAACCAGAGATATGTTACTCCTTTTGTACTTTCGATTTGCTTCAATAAAAGCTATTATGATTTCTTGACCACTCTAATGTGTCACTTGAATTTTATGGTTGTTCTAACCTTGCCATGATCAAAGCCGACCCACCATTCCTTCTCTGGTTTTGGGCGAGGCCTGTCTGCGATTCCTCCCAACTGCGTGCATGGGATCCGTTCTCTACGTTCACGGGTGATCGGCGGTCCCCCTAGTTTGACTAGTCGCGTCGGCGTGGAGGCACGAGGTCACGCACCTCTGCACTCGACCACATAGCAAACTGGGGCGTACAAACTTCTCGGGATAGCGTGTCGAGCAAATGGTACAACTAAGCGAACATTAACATATTTCTCACTTAGTTACACCAACATGAGTATCAAGCTTCCATCGTTTTATACCAAAGCAAACAAGCTTATGATGATATCTGATTCGTTATTACAAGCTTGCTGAAAAGGCTCAAATTTTACAATAACACAACTATGTCCTCCTTCTCTGACTCTAAGCCTATTCCATTGGTGGTTGGCGGTATGTGGCTTCCTCTTGCTCATTGCTTAGATATCCTACTCGAGTCTCGGGGACTCCACCATGCTGGTCATGGTGAAGAGGATGGCCCGTCGATGCTGGCTGAGTCGAGACCATGAGCTTCATCGATTAGCTTACTGATGGCGTTCTAGTTGACTTGTCGATGGCGCACCCTATCACAGTCTTTGTCCCACCTCCTACGAGTTAATATACGCCAATTATCTTTGTGATAGGTCAACTAGGCCATCAAGCTCCTCGGCCTTGTAAGGTCTACCTCCTTCGGTACCCGGCCTCTCCGGTAACTTGAGATCGTCGAGGTAGTAGAGGCACGCACCATACTTAGCACATGTGCACTCGTGTACTCACCCACCTCCTTCATGAATTCTTGGAACCAACTCCATGCCTTTTGGCACCTCTCGACGGTCACGAGCTCCAGGCGTCCTTGGCGCTTCCTCTTTAAGCAGCCCGGATCGATAAGGTCAAGGATGGGCAAAATGCGATTGCCACTTCCTAACACCGGTTCTTCCATGTGTCTCGATCCCGGTGGTCTCTAGGCATCGCGTCTTCCGGCCGTCACAATCTTTAATCACATCTTCTAGATGTTTCTTGGCATTGATTTTTAAAGCGCAAACCGTACAAGACAGTCGTAGAATGTAGCGGCATGACAAGATAAAGGCGAACCTTCAGAAGAATGAGCAAAAGTGGTCTAGAACACTTACTTTACAGTTCCTCCTTCATCTTAGTTGCGGGTCTCGGAGTTGAGGCTGAGTGTGCAGCGCCGATTTCTCGTTGTCCTCCTTGATGACCACACTCTGCTGATCACCGCGGATATTCTCCACTTGGGGCGGGTTACTTTGGCTTCTAATCCCCTACCTTCTGACTCTCACCCAACAATGGAACAGCGCGTGTCATGCACTTCTTTGTGATAAGCGACAACTTACTTGTTTTCACTTGCTCTTTGTTCTTTTGGTTGGACGACCAGTTCTGGTTTTTGCATCTTGTTCGTCCTCTCCCGGTCGGCGGCTTCAGTAGTGGGCGCCAAACATTCCACCTCGGCCGCTAGTTCTCTATTGTTTGTCATGATTCCTCAATCGGTCAAAGCACCTTTTAGGTACCTTGGTCTTCATCAAGTCACACGCATATAAACAAGCTAAATCAGACGATTCGACTAAATGGCGAGGATCAAGTGGTCAAGCCAAACATACGAACTTCTATCACCAGACGTTTTTGCCGTTAGATTCAACTTTTAGGGTCTCTTGACCTCTTGTTAGAATGGCGGTATGTGATGCAGGAGTTAAATGTCTCTGCGACCACTATGGCTTTCCCACGAGTACGTAGCATCGACAAGCGTGCTTTTTGCCACCTCAAACTCTTTTGCTCCTCGACTTAGTGCAGTCCCCTTGGCGCCGAGTATCCCCCCTCGGCGAGGGTAGTGCTGGAACACTAGTATGGCTTCGGCTCTCTCCCGACCAGCTACTCGAGGGGCTATCGATGCGGCTGCAAATGCTAGGAGGTTACGGTGGATTTTCTTCTATGGGTTCCTCCACATCTGGTTTCTTTGGGCAGATTCTTTCAGTCATTCTTTGTGAAATAGTCGTGCCACACACCGGCCAACTGGATCCGGGATTGAGCCCAGCCAGGCCTAATATATCGAAGATAAGTTCGAGGAAAACAATAGTATTCAATACAAATTGTAAGCTTACATCAAGGTTGCAAAACTACTTACAACTGGAAGCATGGAATGATGTGGTGAATAAGCGTCTCTTGATGCTTGCTCCACGTGCTCTCGGCGGGTTCCTTTAGGTCTTTTTTCCGCGACCCGATGCGGTCGTGAGGCACAGTGCTTTCGACCCTTTGCCGCTTGTCATCGTACGTGTTGCGATGGTGGGTGATCACGATCCTGGCGACCGAAGGAAACCTACTCTATCCGTCAACTCGGTTGTCTCCTCCTCTTTTGAGGGGCGAGTCGGAAGATATACGCATCCTCTGTTTCATCATCCGGCGGAGGGAAGATATTTGGCAGCGTTTGTTGGCCGCAGGCCGCTTGCAGCTGACCACGGCGTTGCCTCCTCTCAACCCCAAAGTATGGCCCGGTCGGCGTCTTCGGCCTACTGGCACTGGCGTAACGCGGGGTTTGGCCCAGCAACTGCGGCCAATCCACACCGGGTGGAACCACGAACAACGATGCCTGTCATGACCATTACTCACAGGAAACATAAAGCGACAACCACGGTCAATTTTTGTTTTACAACATAACTCTCTGGTACAAAGGCATAATTTACCTTTGGGAGGTTGAGCCCGGCTTGAAGCGTGCTCGATGTCGTTTAACACGACATAATTGGGATCTACTAAGTTGAATAGCTCCCCAATCCTAGCCTTGACTTCGATTTGTCAAGCACCTCTTTTTTGGTCCTCGTTGGATCTGCGCTTCCACAGTATTATTAACGGGATGTACCCTCCTACGGCGAAATGGATCCTTGGTGATGAAGTTTCCGACCACGCTTGGACCATCCGGCTTCCCCATGGGATCATCCAAGCGGATTCACGCAACTTTGTTCCAAGTGCTCGGGCTTCTCAGGCCAGGTATTTTCTTCTCGAAAATGAACCCCACGTCATACCGGTGATGGGTGTTCGGCTCTTGGCGGACGATAGAACCACTTCTTGTACCATTAAGTCTAGCGATGTGTTCCAAAGGCAATGCAATCTTGGGCTTTCATCCGTCAGCAGCGATTGAGATATCGCCTACGGCTATCTTGACCGCCCGCTCCTTTCTTCATGAGTAAGGCGAGCAGGATATGGCGAAAGAATTGAGAAATGGGTGAAGCCACCATATGCTCGCCAAAGATGGATGAAGGTGGAGACAAGAAGGAGAATCGAGTTGGGGCCTTGATTGCAAATCCCAATCTAAATGGTACAAATGAGAGCCCACGGAGGAAAGGGTGCCTTTGGAACCCCAAAACCCGGCTTGAAGAAATCCTCGAAAACAACAATCTCACACAGGTTTGTGGATCGGGGTAGCTTTCTCCCTTACGGCGCGCGCCATCCCACAGTGCCTTGTTATGGAGCACTCCCCATGGTGACAAGGTCTTGATGATGCGATCATTGCTCCTTGACTTCCACCACTCCTTAGCGCATGACTTGGTTTTTTCTTACAGGCGTTTTTCTTACGCCATTAATACATCCTTGCTAAAAGGGGTGGTTACGGTGGAGGGTGATGGGCGATGATTTCGGAGAATAGGGTTTGGCAAGAAGAAAAGAAAGAAGAAGGCTGGCGGCGAATGATAATGGGGTTGGTAAAAAATAACTTACGATTCTATATTATAAATAACCAAGAATTCCGTCGTTTTCATCACTTGAGATTCTTGGGAGATGTCTTGGCAATGCTATTGGATAGTTGTTTTCACAACCTCGAGATCTCATTGATAAATCGCCCCTTACGATTGCAGGTGTCGCGCCTCTTCGTTGCTAGTGTGAGGGGCCCCTGGCCTTTACCTCTTCTGGTGCAAATGCAGTATTGTTGCTAGAAAGGGCAAGAAGAGCGATTATGGCGTGTTGTACACATGCACTTTTGGCCGGAACATGATATACGATTGGACTTGTGCCAGTGAAGATAAATAAATACACCAAATAATAGTACAAGCGTTACGTTTTTTTTAGCTTGCATGTCTTGTGCTCAAGTATGGTCAGACCCTTTGCAGGTGCTCGGGCTTGCACGAGACCTTTTGCCGTGCTCGTGGTTTGCCTGAGACCAATTGCCGTGCTCGGGGTATCTAGACCAATCTGCAGTGCTCGGGGAATTGCACATATCACTCTAGTGCTTGAGGAATTTTGCTCCGACCACCAATGTGCTCGAGCTGTCCCGACCCTTTGCTTTCAGATTGTTCTCCTTGGCTACATGTGATTTGTACTCACACTCTGAGTTGAGAGACATTTATTTTGACCTTGTTACAAAGGCTTGTGCCGCCTTCCGACAAGCTCGGAGACTACATGATGCGATGCACTGCCCGGTGCATCTCATTATACTTTGTCTGACGATTGGGTTTTCAACTTAGCGGGAATTCTTTTTAGACCACAGCACCGTGCCTCGTCACCTACTACCGGGCTCAAGGACTAAGTTGGCACACTTCCCTTGCGGTGAATGTGTTTGTTTTTTCCACCCGCCGCCTCACGATGATCAAGGATGCTTTCGCCTCGGGATCCACTTACATTTCTTTTCGAGAAATACAAGTGGGCACACTTCATAGGATGGAAATCTTTTCTTTTTTCTTAAGAGCACCATACATTCTTTGGACAGCCTACTTCTCCGGCAATAGCGGTGGTCGAGGAAATGTCAAAAACTCAAGCTTTACTATTGGAGAAGGTTAAAGTGGCGTGTCGCATGACAAAACACATGGTGCTCGGGGACTAGGCTGTGGGGTATTAACCTCTATACCCTTATAGGCTAAGATTGGGCCGGCCGGATCGATTGGGTCGGTCCACCAAAAGCGACAGTGACTTTCGGCCAACACAACCAGTCAGCATAGAAGGAGTCAAGCGATTTAGCTGATCAAGCAAGATCTCGATCGGTTAGAATAGGAATCCTTATCCGGGTCACCTATGGCAATTTATGGCCGAGCTAGGATTAGTTTCCGGATCTGTAACCACTGCCCTCGGACTATATAAAAGGGGCGGGACCCCTCTAAAAACATCTCTCATTAACATACAACAATACAATCGAGGATGCCGGGGCGTAGGTATTATTCGCCTTCTCGGCGGCGAACACAGATAAAACCTCGTGTCTTGCGTTACCATCTTGTTTGTGGCTTGCTGCATCATGCGCCAACAATCTACTACCTTGGGCATACCCACAGGTAGCTACTTGCGAGCCATATTTCGTCGACAATCGATCATATACATATAGGCACGAGTCGGACATCAAATAACTTGGATTTGCATTATCCGTAGGACACCTTATATGTATCAAAATCGATATCAAAATCAAAAAGGCGTGCAATCAATTTCTCGATTCAATAGAAGCCCAAAGAGGTGCATATGGTACCCAAATAAGAATATGATAGATATGTCAAAAGCAGGTCTGATTACACATATTCCTAATCCTAAATAGAATGTAAGGACATAGAGTTTCTATATAAACAGAGTATCCTATTTCCATAGACTCGAATGACCCCTTCTCATAATAAGAATGTGCACAATCTGATCCGGTATGAAATGAACTTATAATCCGATGATGAAGTCGATTCTATGATTATAAGTTCATAATCCTAACACCCATTTCCATTTTAGGCAGAACAGATCTACTGATTCTTTTATTCCTATTCCTGTTAGTAAGAGAGCAGGAGGCGCCGGCCGCTGGCTACGGCGAGGATGGCGTGTACCGATCGATGCGCCCGGCGGTGCCCATCCAGTCAGACCCGGCTCTCTCCCTGAACGACCTCATCTTCCGCCACGCCGACGCGTGCCCCTCCGCGTTCGCGCTGGTCGACGCCGACACGGGCAGCGCCTTCACCTTCGCCGGACTCCGCTCCGCAGCTCTCACCGCAGCCTCGGCGCTCTCCGCGCGCGCGGGCGTGCGTCCCCGGCGACGTCGTCCTTCTCCTCGCGCCCAACTTCGTCCTCTACCCCGTCTGCTTCCTGGCCCGTCACCGCTCTAGGCGCCGTCGCCACTACAGCCCAACCCACTCTACACCGCCAGAGAGATCGCCAAACAGGTCGCCGACGCCCGCGCGGGCTCATTGTCGATCTCTCAACCTCCTGCCCAAGGTCGCGGAGCTCCGGCTCCCCGCTATCCTCCTAGACGGCGACGCCGCCGCCTCTGTGATCGTGCCTTCAGGCGCCAACGTTACGCTCTACTCGGACCTCGTCGACGGCGTGCAGGAGACGGAGTACCGGCGCCCGCCGACCAAGCGGAGCGACACACCGCCGCTGCTCTACTCTTCAGGCACGACAGGGGAGAGGAAGGGCGTCGTCCTGACGCACGGCAACTTCATCGCGGCGCACGCCATGTTGGCGTCGGACCCGGACGCGCGCGCGGGGAGGGGCAAAACGTGCTCCCTCTGCTTCCTGCCCATGTTCCACCTCTTCGGCCTCTCCGTCGTCACGCTCAGGCAGCTGCAGCGCGGGAACGCCGTCGTCGTGATGCCGCGGTTCGACATGGACGCCGCGATGGCCGCCGTGGGCAGCGGCACCGCGTCACGTACCTCTACTGCGTCCCGCCGGTGATGATCGCGCTCGCCAAGCATGGGAGCGCCGGCAGAGTACGACCTCAGGTCGCTCAAGTTCATCATCTCTGGTGCCGCACCGCTTGGCAAGGATGTGATGGAAGCCGTGGCAAAAGGACTTCCCGGGCGCCAAGTTTATCCAGGTAATTGAGCATTTTCAGCTATGCAATCTAAAAATTTGAACCGTGGAATGCTGCAGCTCTTTTAAGATTCTTCTTACACATTTCAGATATGACAAATTAGGGAATCTTAGCAACGAATCTATTCGTGCAAAAAATACTACATATGGGGGATCATCAATATCCCTCTTTATAGAAAAAAAAAGTTGTCTCTAGTAAAATTCAGTTGACAGCCACAAAGAGTTGTGAACACAACAAGGCATATTAACCTTCCATATCACCGGAATGAAAGGGCATAAAGCTTCGTCTGAATAAATACCAGTAAAATTAAACTACTAAATGATAGCATCACATTCATCTATAACTAAGAAATGTCGATGTGTCCGTTCAAAAATGTTTTACTCTAGTTGGTTCTGCCATGACTCAGTGAGCTATGTGGTACCTATAAATCTAGAATGTTTTTTAGACTAATCTAGAATGTTTTCATGTGTAAACTTTTGTACTGCATGGTGCTCCTCTTGTAGGGTTATGGGATGACAATCTTGTGGGATCATATCACTAGAATCCTGAAATGGGAAAGGCTCATAGATCATTTGGGTCAACTGGAACACTCGTCACACAAGTCGAAGCAAGATCATCGACGTAGAGACATTGAAACATCTTCCACCGAATCAACTTGGAAATTTGTGTTCGAGGACCAAGCATAATGCAAGGTAACTTTGAAATTTGAATCATGCTTCGTATGCACCCCCCCTCTCCTGCCGGCCACGCCACACCTCGTCCTTCTAGATCAAACAAGGTTTTTATTCAATAGGAACCCTGATGTCGATTTCTTGGCCACCTAAACACACAATACTACAATAGTGAGGTTCAATCAAAAGACATGACAACGAGGAATGAATCATTTGCTCGTATCGTTATCTTTGCCTTCGTTGTTTATGATGAATGCCTGACATTATGAAGTAGAAACTATTTTCAATTAAAAAACAATCAACATTTTGTGTCAGAAAAAGATGTTCCAGGCCTAAAATGCTCACTACATGGAACCATGCATGGTCTCCAGTGTATTCTCTCCTCTATGCTAGTCTGAATGGGGTTTCATGGCATTAAATAAGTTGATATGGCATGGTATAAATGAAAGGAGAGATGAAAAAATTTCATGGAATGAAATGAGTTTCATTAGGATGAAAAGTCATGAAACTCCCACTGAGACTGGCTTTAGGGATAATGGAGCGAATCCCTACTTATTTGACTGTGCAATACTTTTATGGTATCTCAACAACGTGGAAGCTACAAAATCTACAATCAAGCAAGGGTGGTTGCATACCGGTGATCTTGGGTACTTTGATGAAGAAGGCCAGCTTTTGTTGTCGATAGACTTAAAGAGCTGATTAAATACAAAGGATTCCAGGTAAAAGTATCAATTATCTGCAATCTTGCTATCATGCTGAAAGAAGTCAAGCACTCAATCCTACCAACGTGCATGTGTTGTTTTTCTGGGAATATCATATTATTTGTCTGTTTGGAGGAAAATATTGTGTGTGCATGTGTTTTTTCAGGGAATATCATATTATTTATCTTTTGGAGGAAAATATCGTGTTTAAAATTGTACATATAGATTGCACCGGCTGAGCTTGAAGGCCTACTTTTGTCTCATCCAGAAATTCTTGATGCTGCGGTTATCCCGTAAGTTGAGCCACCTAATCTTTATCGTTTTCTCTGTTTATAGTCATGAATAGTTCCACTTGTTGGTTTTTATCTCTCCTAATTAACCGTGGATTCAACTTGTTTTAAAGGTTTCCTGAAGCTGAAGCTGGGGAAATTCCTGTTGCCTACATTGTCCGATCACTAACAAGTTCCTTGAGTGAAGCTGATGTCAAAATTTTATTGGAAAGCAGGGTGATGCTGACTAGGAACCTTGACTTGGTTTTAACTCTTTAGCCTCGTAATTTTCCGTGCATATTGGGTTTTACTCAACTATAGCTGAAACTTTTTGTTTTCGATTTTAGTAACTTCTTCGTATAATTTTCCGTGATTTTTTAACAATTATCGTTCACTTGGTGATACGTGTTTAATACTTCTGTAGTTTCTTTTTGTGTGGAACTGTTACTGCCTTATTGTCATGGAAATACAGTGATTCCCCCATGAACTACATTTGCAGGTCGCACACTACAAAAAAGGGTGAGGAGGGTAACCTTTGTGGACAGTGTACCAAAATCTCCATCAGGAAAGATTTTAAGAAGGAGCTCATCCTTAAAAATTATACCATAAAAACCAAGATATAGCAAATGTACTTCTATGTTTCAGAATAGAGAATGCCTTTAGATTCTGCAAAAATTCAAACCATGTCAGTTGAGCACCGTCAGACATAGTGTTTGCTTATTGCCCGACAGGTTCCACTATTCTAAAAAGAAAAAAACAAAGGAAACAATTTACTATTGTAAGCTTATTGCCCGACAGGTTCCCACTATATTAAGTCACAAAAAAAGACAGGTTCCCACTATTCTAAAATTGCCACCAAAAGCAGACCAGTGCTACCCACTATAAGGTGGCATTCGGATTATTGAAAATGGGAGGCAGGATAGGGAATAAGGTGCAGGGTAAAGCTTTTGCCTTGTTTGGATTTTGAGGTTAGGAATATGAGGGTGTTTACTTAGGTTAGGGATAGGACACGGCGGTCCATTGATGATAGCTGTTTTGTTCGTGGATGACATGGATTACGTTTTGGTAAAAATAAACCAATGAAAAGTGGATCCGACATGCCATAACCAGCCTAGCATCATTCTTTAAACAGAAAAAATGACCCATCATCATGGAATTCTCATCCATCCAACGAAACAAAAATGACTCTACCTTCATACATCCAACCAAGCAGGCGGTATGGATTAACCATATTCTGAAATTCATGGATATCCATATCTTATCCAACCTTGTCCTCGAACCAAAAAGATGAGTGGATTATGGATCAGTCTCAAACATGTAAACTTACAATTTTAAGCCTATTTATGTTGCCTCTCCACTTATTTAATAAAGGGTATCATAGTTATTTGATATTTATTTCCTCATCACGAAGCCATTACACATTAAACAAGGGAATGAGATGAAAACTTATATACTCCATCTATACTAAAAATGAAGTCGTTTTGGACAACAATACGGTCTTCAAAGCATAACTTTGACTACTTATTTTTATAAAGATATTTATCAAAAAGTGATATATGTAAATTTTGTGAAAGTATTTTTCAGACAAATCTATACATATGGTTTTACATTTTCAAACTCAACAACTTAAAAGTTATTCATGATTTATATCCCCAATGTTTGATGTAAGTCTTGTAAAAAACGACTTCAATTTTTTTAGTCACGGAAGGGTATCAAATAACATTTCACGGAGTACAAGCCTGTCCTCAGTCTTCACGCGTTGTCAGAGGCAAAATCGCATGGCTCTTCACATGTTCTCATCTCTGACACAGTGACACGTCACGCGTGAAATGTTTTGGTTGTGCGAAGTTAGCACGGACTGAGTTCAGTATGCTCATGCTTATACATCAGCAGCTAGCGGATTGATCCAGAACGGCAAGCGATTTACACTAGCAGGCCTGGACGCGGGCTACGGCGAGGACGGCGTGTACCGATCGATGCGCCCGGTGGACCCGGCTCTCTCCCTCTCCCTCTCCCTCTCCCTCAACGACCTCATCTTCCGCCACGCCGACGCGCTGGTCGACACCGACACCGGCAGCGCCCTCACCTTCGCGGCACTCCGCTCCGCAGCTCTCGCCGCGGCCGCAGCACGCTGCGCTGCTTAAACCAACCCACTATACACCGCTAGTCTAGAGATCGCCAAGCAGGTCGCCGACGCCCGCGTGGGGCTCATCGTCACGATCTCCGACCTCCTGCCCAAGGTCGCGGAGCTCCGGCTCCTCGCTATCCTCCTCGACGGCGACGCCGCCTCCGTTACCATGCCTTCAGGTGCCAACCTTACGCTCTGCTCCGGACCTCGTCGACGGCGTGCAGACGGAGTACCGGCGCCCGCCGACCAAGCGGAGCGACACGGCAACCGCGCTGCTGTACTCTTCGCTTCAGGCTTTACAGGGGAGAGCAAGGGCGTCGTCCTTGCGACTCCCTACGTTGCTGCGTGGGCCTCCGATCGTATCGTATCAGGTCGGGCCTCGACTCAGAGGAGAAACGCACGAATATGGAAGTCGAGTCGGCCTGTACGTGACGCGTAAAAGCTGACTATAAAGAAGAGCGCGTAAGGGAGAACAGGGTAGAGAATCGACTTAGAGCATTATTAGTAGCACAAAACGCAAGACCCAAGAGAGCACGAAATGGCGACACAGCCAAGTGAAGTGGACACGACTATCAACGACAGCAGCAGCATCAAACGCGGGGAAAGAAGAAGAAGCGTGACTGAGATCAACAACGGTTGGGATGAGACCAAGAAGGTCGCCGACGTGCTTAGAGGCGGGCAGAGGCCAAGGGAAACGACGGCAAGTCGGAGATGCAACGTGAGGATCCAGGGCTGTTGGAGCTTTTGCGATGTACGATGTTGCCGATGCCCGGCACACCATGGTTATTGCAGAGCTGCTCCGGCAACGCGAAAAGTTAAAGCAACTCAGGTTTGCTAGGGTTCTAGATTAAATATTTCTCCATAGATCAATCCATCTATTGTAGGCATGTAATTTGGTCATGAAACCAAGGGGAAAATCCTCGTCGCATAGGACCTGGGTGCGACACCACCTGCATGCGTGATCTGCATATATTGATATATAGTCTAATCTGCTCGGCTGGATCACCGCCTAATGACCTGCAGGTGGGACCTACGTCGAATTATCGCACGGAGGTTTTATGTGACACCGTCGCAGTTTTTTCCTGAACCGAG